GAAGTGGAGGTCACGATGCGAGCTGTGTGTATGTGGATGTGGAGGGCACGCTGCGAGCTGTGTGTATGTGGATGTGGAGGGTATGCTGTGAGCGTGAGTTTGGCGTCAGCCCTTGGACTTTCTGTTGTATGACGTCGGCGTGTGAGTGGTCAGGGTAGTGGGAGATAAAGCACAGGAAGGACATAGTACTCTACCAATAACAGCACACGCACGCTTTCATGTACTCGTGAGTTTCATTTTTAAGTATTACAAAAGACTGTACAGATCGTAAATGTGTATTTTAAAAAGCAAATTATGAGCTACACTGGACATACTTAAAGTACAAAGAATAATGTAACGAATAGCTCTAAGTCCACCCCTCCCACAGCTTAAGAAATAAAACATCAAGTCAGCAGGTGGCATGGAGGTTAAGGCAACTGAATCCCCACATGGCTGACTATGCGAATGGAGTCCCAGATCTGGCAGCTTCAGAATTATACTAGGTGCATGTGTGTGCATGCCCAAATCCCAAGAGGAGAATGGAGAAGAAGGGATTGCCATGTGGCCATCCTTCCTGGGGGGTGATTTCTCACTTTCTCTCTCTGTCTCACTGGTGAGTACACCTGCCCTATTGCAAACAAATAAACAAAAATCCATGCCCTATAGCAAACTAGTATGTAAATGAAACATCACCAATACTATGTGTACCCTTCTCTAATATTTCCCCCCGCCCTCTCTCTAGCAGGTTACAAGCATCTATGCTGGTGCTTTGGTTTCCAGTGGTTTTACTACATCAGTATCAGGTCGCTGGCAAAATCTTGATGTTTTCTATGGAAAAATGCATCACGACTTTTCCAGCAACCCAATATATATTTTAAGGTGTAGTATAGTATTTCACCTTTTAAAAAATAATTCTTTAACTTTACTTATTTATTTTGATTTGACTAGAGAGGGAGGGGGGAGAGAGAGAGAGAGAAAGTGAGAAAGCAAGTCTCCAGGTCCAGAACTCAAACCACAGTCAGCCATGTGGGAGTCCAACACCCTTAGCTGCCAATGCCACCTGCCAGCCCCAGCATCTTACCTTTTAAAACTCTTTATTTTGAGGGATCTGCAGATGGCATAGGAGTTATGTCACTGTACTCCCTCATAGTCAGTCACAGTTCGAGTTCTGGACCCAGCAGCTTGCAACTCATGCCAGGCATGTATTTGTTTGCCCAAGATCCTGAATGGAGAATGGAGAAGGGATTGCAGCATGGCCATCCCCCTGGAGGGTGATTTTTTTGCTTTCTGTTTCTCTGTCTCTCTGGCGAGCATACATGCCTTACAGCAAAATTCTCTCAAAAACAAAAACAAAACCTATTTTGATATCATTTCATGCAGAAAAGTTTCAAGAGCAGTTAAAAATATTATGTATATTCTTTATCCAGATTTAGCAATTGTTAACATTTTGCCTCATGTATCAGTTGTGCTTGCTCTTTCTATGCATATACAAATGTAAATACATATTTTTCTGAATCATTGAATATTAACTTTAAGACATCTTTCTCTATCTATAAATACTTCAATGTGTATTTCCTCTACACAAGGATGCTTCCACACAGTAACAGTGTATTCATCAAAATTAAGAAATGCAACATTGATACAGCACTATTGTACAATACTGTTCTCAGACTGCACCAAGGTTTCCCACAGCCCCACAATGAAATCCCAGGACTTACTTGTGGGATAGTTTGTATTCTAAAACTTCAAGCCAAACAAAATGAAACGTGAAGACCACAAAAAAACTAGCTTGAGGCAGTTTTCAGTTTCAACGATAGATGGCACCATCGACCCTGATTCTCATCTTAGCGACACTAAGGTTTCGCTGCGGCTGTGATGAAAAGCGTGGTGCCCACATCAGTGAGGAGCCAAGATGTGGGCGGCCTTGCCCAGTCTGATTTGAGATGAGCCAGTCTCAAAGGACTGAGAAGTGCAATGCCTAACAGGTGCACACATACCCCTGGCAAGTAATGTCATTTAACAAGGTGATCGAAATGCTGTTTTTCTTTCAGTTTACATGTATTATACTTTCAAAGGACTACCCGATTGTCAGGCATTAAATGCTTAATACGTTGTTTGGACC